CGTTATTTTTGTTGACAATGCGAAACCCACGGACTTTTGGTTCTAGCTCTAAAACTGAAGAGGAAACAAATATAAGAGCTGTCATTCCTGACTTTTAAGAGGCAGGCTCCAAGACCTGATATTCAGAGCTGGAGTGAGTATGGAGGGTGGAAGTTCAGACTTCTCTGGATGGGATCTTGTTACAGGTTAGTGGTGTTAGTGTGTGTAGCCAGGATCGGGGTGACAGCACCATAAACTGCACCTTTAAATGGAATCCAGCAATGGCAGCTCCCACAATTCTACCTTCACTGTTTCCCTTTAAATGTGGTGTTGGTGCGCAAAGTGCAATGCTGCATAGCCACCTATCAGAATCAAATCACCGCTCGTCAATAATTGAGCACCAGAACAGTGGAAGGTAATTGTTCATTCCCTGTTTTGGCATTTTTTCATTGCCATTTGTTCTTATGGAATGTAAAAAGTCATGTGCCATTTGTTGCTCTGTAAGTGTCAGTGTTCCTGTATGTAGAGTTGGGTTGCAGCTGAGACATGTAGTCGCTTAGGAAGTCCTACTTTTTTCTTTCTCTTCTGACAGCATACTTGATGATAGGACGTAGCGGGAGTCTGCTTTCCAAGGAAAGCGCAGACAATTCATGTCCAGCAGTTGTGACAGAAGCCCACCCATATTTCTTAGACATTTGTCCTAGCTGCCATAGACTGGGCAGTGTTAGAACCTTTGCTCTGCCTGTAAACCTGTTCTTATCTCTTCAATATGGGCTTGATATGCTGACTGATCAAAGAGCTAAGTCTATTCACTATTTACGAGTTTTTTTTAACATCCTGCAGGAAATGAACACATTTTAGTGACACTATGGTTAAAAAATCTATTCAAGTATGTATTCTTAAAGCAGTATTAAGCCCAAAATCAAAAGTGGAATATATTGCAGCTTACCAATCATTAGATGTGGTGGCTGCATTAGTTTCTTTCTTTATGCTTTCCCCCCTCTGTTTGCACTTGATGATCTGGCCAGTAAAACATATCCTGTATTAGAGTGCCTCCACTCTGGATATAGTAGCACAGGGGACATCTTTGGACAGCAGCATTGTCAATCTGGGGGGAAGGGAGTGTTAAATGTATTAGCAGATTTAAATACACTAACAAATTGAAACCAAACTCCAGCTAACAGTTTAGAACCAGTTACAGCAAACAGTGTTGTCCTTTTGGGGTAAAGGATTTAAATAAATAAATAAAAGCTGATCATTGTATGCACCCCTGTCAGTGGTAAATGGTTTGGCTCATCTCTGTAACTGATACATTCTGCTGGAGAGCTTGTTCTTTTGAAAAACAATAGACTTACTGGTTAGATCACCAGATTAAAATAGAAGAAAGAAAGACTAAAAAAGAAAATGAATTCAGACACCATATTTAAGAATTGGTAAGCTGCAATATAATAAATGTTTGCCTTTGGGTTTAGTACCACTTTAACTAAAAAAAAATATCTTTTATTGCTCTCAGCCTCCTCTAGATCTCCAGTTTTGTGGGGGTTTTTTTTGGTGCTGCAATACAGCTTCCTGTTAGATGGTTCTCCATGGTCCCATTGTATGTAGGAAGTCCCAAGATTTATAGTGTGCATATAGCAGTGCACTTGACCACAAATAACATGCACTGCTCGTTCCAAACAAACTGAAATGAGGGGAAAAGGGTAGGCTCCCATGGAGAACAATACACACTGTAAGAAACTATTATATGAAAAATAGATTACAGGGCCACTAAGTAGTGGATGTGTATGGATAATGTTTGGAGAATTAGGCTATTGTTTGGTGTTTCTGTAGGTGACTGTCCTGTGGTAAAAATCAGTACAGTATACTAAAGATACAACTAAGGGTCTGTTCATCATCTTTCACCCAAGTGTCACACATTTTCTACATAAGAGTCCACTAGTAAATATATGTGAATCTTGGGTGAAAGTTGCATACATCTTGGGAGAGAACTTTAATAAATAGCCCCACTAGACACAGAATTGGTGGACCAGTGGACACCCCAAGAAATTATTCTTTGGATCACTTGGCTGTCAATATTTTTTAACTGATGCTGTTTTCTCCCTTTGAGAGGGCCAGCGGCACCTGCAGTCTATGCTATGTGAGAATGCAATATCAGTTTATATGTTTATGAAATTTTATTTTGAAAGACTACCAGTCTTAGGTGGTTATTTAAACCATACAAGGATAAAATTATACCAAGCACCATTGGTGACTTATTAAGAGCTTTGGGGCTGCCATGCTGATTACAGCTCCAAGACCTCCTGCTGACCTGGAACAAGTATGGTGTTCAGACATTGGGATTTCACTTTCAGAGACTTACTAATGAAGGATCAAAATGAAAGCCAAGACCTGTACCTTTACAGTAAAAACAAAGCAGTGATGTCAGCTCTTACCATACCATCCTTGCAGCTTCTTTTTAAGGCAGGGAACCAGGTTTTGTCTCTCAGCAGTTCACAGCTACCAATAAACAAATGACTTTTGATTGGCTCAGGTTTGTAAATGCACTTTGCAAAACCATCCAACTTCCTAATAAAATAATTTGATAAGACAAAGAACAATATGTGAGGTACAGAAACCATCTTCAAATATTTTGACAGCTGTTGATTAATGAAAATTATTCTTGATAAGTTGCAACTCTTAGCTCTGCCCCATGGAGTGATTATCTAAATTGGTAAACCCCGGGGTAGACACCAATGTAAGGGGCACTATTCCACTTACCACCAATGTAAGGGGCATCTCTCCACTGACCAACAATTTAAGGATGCAATACAATGACTACCAGAAGGCCATTACATTGATCACCAGTGTTAGAGGACACTACATTGATTACCAATGTAAAAAAGTGATCCAGCTTTGAAACGCGTCAACCATTACATAGGGTCTCCCTTCAAAAGTGTGATTTGCACGCTACTTTGGCTCCTGTGATCCATTCTTGGATTTTATATGCTTTTAGACTGCTACATTTGTGAGTATACATCTTATTTTAATAAAACCATTTTTATCGCTGAGGTAATGCACAAGGTTGGTGCACTGTCTTTTGTTCTTATTTGCAGTACTTATCAGTGACTGGCAATGTAAGAGGGCCCTACACCGACCACCAATGTTTCAGGGCACTATATTGGCCACAAATGTATGAGGGAACTATACTCAAAATCAATGTACGAGGGCACTACACTGACCATCAATGTATGAGGGCACTATACTGACTATCAATGAAAGAGAGAACTACAATGACCACCAATGTATTAGGACAGTACACTGACCACCAATGTATAAGGGCACTACACTGACCAGTGACCACCAATGTATGAGGGACTACACTGAATACCAGTATAAGATGGCACTACACTCACCAACAATGCAAGAGAGCACTACACTGATGATCCCCAGCATGAGAGGGCACTACACTGATCACTAATGCTAGAGGGCACTACACTGTTCACCAATGTAGGAGGGCACAACACTGACCACCAATGTTTGAGGCACTACACTGAACATCAGTGTAGGAGGGACTACACTGATCACCAGTGTTTCAGGGCACTGCACTGATCAACAATGTAAAAGGGTCTCTTCCACCAACCACCAATGTAAGAGGGGAATATATTGACCATCAATGTATGAGGACACTAACTGACTATTAATGTACTAGGGCACTACACTATCCACCAGTGTATGAGGGCACTATATTGGACATAAATGTATTAAGAAACTACACTGATCACCAATGCAGGGAAAACTACATTGCCCATAAATTTATGAGGGCACTACACTAATCTCCAAAATAAGAGGGCAGTACACTGATCATCAGTTTAGGAGGGACTACAAAGATCACCAGTGTTTAAGGGCACTGCACTGACCACCAATATAAAATGGTCCCTTTCACCAACCACCAACATAAGAGGGCAATACATTGACCAGCAATGTATGAGGACACTGACTGACTAATGTAATAGAGCACTATAGTGATCACCAATGTATGAGGACACTACACTCATCACTAATATCAGAGGGCAGGACACTGACCACCAATGTGAGAGAGCACTACACTGATCTACAGTACATTGGTAAAACGGCACTACTCCATTGACTACTAATGTAAGAGGCACTCTTCCACTGATCACTAAGGTAACAGATCACTACTTCACTGACTCTATTATTGTTATTAATATAATTTTTTTTCATGTAATTATTTTTACAAAAATAATAAGAGCAGGGCAAAAAAAATGATCCACTCTGGTAGCCATATTATCTAGGTACACAATATTCTTTATTCATTATTGTATTGTATCTAAAATCTGCTGATCACACAAATTTATGATTAGCTTAATATATTTTAGCAAGAATTCCTGCTAGAAGGCCTAAAAATGAGGGGGTAAAGCAGTAGTCAATCCAGCATTACTTTAACAAAAACAATCCTTAGCATGATACACTATATTGCCAAAAGTATTGGGACGCCTGCCTTTACATGCACATGAACTTTAATGGCATCCCAGTCTTAGTCTTAATCCATAGGGTTCAATACTTAGTTGGCCCCGCCCTTTGCAGCTATAACAGCTTCAACTCTTCTGGGAAGGCCGTCCACAAGGTTTAGGAGTGTGTCTATGGGATTGTTTGACCATTCTTCCAGAAGTGCACTTGTGAGGTCAGGCACTGATGTCGGACGAGAAGGCTTGCCTCACAGTTTCCACTCTAATTCATCCCAAAGGTGTTCTATTGGGTTGATTGTCAGGACTCTGTGCAGGCCAGTCAAGTTCCTCCACCCCAAACTCACTGATCCTTGTCTTTATGGACCTTGCTTTGTGCACTGGTGCGCAGTAATGTTGGAACAGGAAGGGGCCATCCCCAAACTGTTCCCACAAAGTTGGGAGCATGAAATTGTCCAAAATGTCTTGGTATGCTGATGCCTTAAGAGTTCCCTTCACTGGAACTAGGGGGCCAAGCCCAGCCCCTGAAAAACAATAATCCCCCTTCCACCAAACTTTACACTTGGCACAATGCAGGCAGGCAAGTACCATTCTCCTGGCAACCACCAACCAGACACGTCCATCAGATTGCCAGACAGAGAAGTGTGATTCACCACTCCAGAGAACATGTCTCCACTGCTCTAGGGTCCAGTGGTGGCGTGCTTTACACCACTGCATCCGACTCTTTGCATTGCACTTGGTGATGTAAGGCTTGGATGCAGCTGCTCAGCCATGGAAACCCATTCCATGAAGCTCTCTATGCACTGTTGTTGTGCTAATCTGAAGGCCACACAAAGTTTTGAGGTCTTTAGCTATTGACTTTGTAGGCAGTTGGCGACTTCTGTATACTGTACGCTTGACCCCGCTTTGTCATTTTATGTGGCAAGCTGCTGTTGTTCCCAGTTGCATTCATTTTGTTATAATACCACTAACAGTTGGCTGTGGAATATTTAGTAGCAAGGAAATGTCACGGATGGACTTATTACACAAGTGGCAACCTATCTCGGTACCACGCTTGAATTCACTGAGCTCCTGAGAGCGACCCATTCTTTCACAAATGTTTGTAGAAGCAGTCTGCATGCCTAGGGGCTTGATTTTATACACCTGTGGTCACCTGAATACAATGATTTGGAGGGGTGTCCCAATACTTTTGGCAATATAGTGTATAGTATGCTATATCAAGTATGACTTCTCATATTATAAATAGTACAGCCGGGGTTTCTTAAGTTTAGCTTTTAAGTATCCCAACAGGTGATGTTTAATGATTCATATATTAGGTGCAGCTGTGGTTATTACTGAAACAATGAACCTGATTAATTCACTTGTGTGAGATGAAGGGACCACTGATTGGGTATTTGAGGACTACAGTTAAGAAACTCCATAGTACAGCATAAATTATATTTAGCATTTACCTGTAATAAGTAGCTGTAATAATAATATTCATTATTGGAGTTTCCTTAATTATAGGGCATACTTCTTGTTCTCTTTAGGGGATCACATCTCACAAATGTGTCTCATTCACACTAAAGTGATTTAATAATACGGGTGTTTTCCCTTATACGTTTCTATGCCCTGCAACCTATTTGAAATTGCACTGCAATGCATGCTCCATTTTTTTGGAGCTTTATTGCAATTTTAATGTGTTGAACTATGCATTAAAGAAGAAGTTTGGAAATCCAGAGAAAAATAAACATACATATATACTCTCCTGCATGCTGCAGCTGTCCACCGCCCGCTCTAAGCCCAAGAACTGAGTTACCACATGACCGCTGATCATTCAGTCTTCTTGGAGCAGACAGCAGTGACTGTCAGCACTCACTGGAGGACCAGGCCAGAGAGGGGTGGGAGCAACTGGCTTTGGCTTTCAGTCAAACGCTGAGAGATGGAACCAGCTGTCAATCAGGCAGCTGGGTGGATCCCGACAATATATTCAGGATCCATCCACATCCTGGTGTGGCTTGCTGATATCAAATTTATGCTGATAGCAAATTTATGAGTGTTTTCTTGTACCGATGACTGTACTGCATTTATTCTTTATTGTTTGGATATAATGGAAACTGCTTCCTTGTTAAATAAAGAATTTGGAAAAAAAAGCACTTGAAATTAAACAAACATGATCACTGTAATGTAACTGTAAAACACTCTAGATGCACCATAAATCATTTAAAATGAAAAGCAAATGATCGTGTAAGATCCCCGAGTCACAAGAGGCTGGACTGCAGGGGTGTGTTGGTAACATGCCTGGGAAGGGCTGTAAGGCAACAGACAGGAGAACAGTCACCCAGCTTTATTAAAGCAGGTAAAAATAAAATGATTTCTCTGAAAGAGAATCTTCCACTTACAATTCCAGCACATCAGTAATTTTTTTTTTTTTGTGCCTAGAGTTGTTTTTTAATGGGTGGTTGTACCTTTCACTAATCTGCAACCCCATCCCCAAAAAAACTTTGCTTACCCCTCTTTCTGATTTCTTGCTTCAGTTCTGAATCTGCAGGTTCCAACTGCATTTTCTTCTTCTCTCTTCATAGACCTAAATGGGGCTACATACTAAATTTCAATATATGTCCCATTAAAGGCTGTAACTATATACCGCTTTTATTTTATAAATACCTAAATGAACCACAATCCCTGGTCTTGGTGTAGTGTAGGAAGGTTCTTCTTCAGGTACCCACAATGTTCCATGATGACAAGAATGCTTTAATGGCTGTAAGAAGAATCCATCAGTGGGGTACTGACAGGGTCCTGAAGACCTGTCAGCAGACCAGGCCTGCAGTTGGGGTCTACTACTGCAGAAACAGACAGAAGAACCTCTTGAACCCCATTAAAGTACCAGTGGTTTTGAAACCAGGTTCTGTGTGACCCAATAACAGAATAGGCATTACTATCACTTGTATCATAATAATACTGCTCAGGGGCGGACTGACAACTCATGGGGCCCCCGGGCAATAGGGGATCATGGGGCCCCTGTGTCCTCACCCACACTCAAAACCACACCCAAAAAAGCCTATGAAAGGTACTAGGGGCATCTCATGGGGCCCCCTACTGACCCTGGGCCCTCGGGCAGCGCCCGAGTGCCCAAATGGTCAGTCCGCCCCTGATACTGCTCAAGGCTATTCAGTAATTTGAGAAAGGACTGCTGGGGTCTTGGAAGTCTAATATGCATCACAATTATATATTCCTATGTTTCACCATGCAGAAATATTACACCTTCCATATAAGATTCTTTTTTAAAAGCTGTTGCATTTATAAGAAGTAGATGTAAACTCTAAATGAATGACATTTGGTTTGCTAAAGCACTGCGTATCACAAACAATAACCATGTTTTTAACTAAAATACTGTTTTTTTTTAATCCTCTGCTGTACCTAAGTGCTTCTGATCTCCTTTGGCCTCTTTGCAGCAACTTCATGTCTACATGCATTCCAGCAACAACCTCATGGCATTTCTTAGAGTGGGTTTTCTAAGGGCTGGTCACATCAGATGCATTGGGATTAACAGTTAGAAACATTGCCACCAAGATTGGGGCGGGGTAGCCTTATAATAAGCTCTGAGACTCACCAAATAATTAAAGGTTTGTGTGTAAACCTAATTAAATACAAAAAAAAAAAACAAAAAGGCGGTAGCTGCAAAGAGCAAACAACCAAAGTAGATAATGATACACCCAAGCAAAGTAGCTCGCATGTAAACACACATATTTTATTAATTTCCCATTAAAATAGGGAGGACAAGTGATATCAGCAGACAGTGAATATCACACAACCACCTGACATATAATTAAAAACAAAACAAAAAGCAATCCGGATTGCAATGCGCAAACTGATATAGTGTCATAGTGGACAATAGTGAGATAAAAGGACGCTAATGTTTCTGATAAGGAACAGTCTGTGGGCAATCAAATCATACCCTAGGCAACAAAACCATAGACAATAACAAATATTCTCTGTTCAAGAATGTATAATTGAATAGACATTAATCATGAAGCCAGCACCCTGGTGGATAGTATGGCTACAAATGGAGTAGTTGTCCCGGGTCTGTGGAGAGCAGTGATGTATGGCCGTCAGTTATTGAGGGCAAAAGGGCCAACAGACACAGACTAAACCGGATGGATAACCGAACAGACATCTTGTGTGCATGTGGAAATTGTAGAGCATAAAGTCAATCCATACTGTCCTATGCACAATGGAAATGGTGGCCGGAGATAATGAACAAATAGGAAGCGAGAGAGAGAGAGAGAGAGAGAGAGAGAGAGTGTGTAGAGAGAGGAAGAGATAATAATACCTCTAGCACAGTGGTTCTTAACCTTGTTGGAGGTACTGAACCCCACCAGTTTCATATGCGCATTCACCGAACCCTTCTTAATTGGAAAAATAAAATATGATTTTTAAAATTCAAAACATAGTTATATATTTAGGTATATATTTATACATAGGTGCACAAAATGAACAAAACCGTTAAGAACAAAGAACAAAACCATTAAAACATGATTTTCACTCAAAAACAAAAACATAATAATGAATATTTACTGCACGAATCATATGAGTCGGGTGTGGGTCTTCACCTCCACCGAACCCGCGAGACTGACTCACCGAACCCCTGGGGTTCGATTGAACCCAGGTTAAGAACCACTGCTCTAGCAAGATAATGGCAAGAGATCATGGATAGATGCTTCACACACTTACTACCAGGTCTCCGGATTCCAGACAGTCCAATCTCTCTTTTGGTCTTTCCTTAGATCATTGGGATCTAAGGGATTACACTAGGCATAGTGCACCAGTATCAATGCATTGGCACCACTGTCATCACATTGAACTGCAGTCATCTGCGTCCAGGCTCGGACATCTGTCCCCAACCATAGGTAACCACTTTGTGTGTGGCTATGTGCGAACAGTGGCAGCCGCTGTCAGCCTGTCATTAGTTATAAACAGGGTGAACGTCCACAGTTATTTGCATATCTCGGTTATTCCAGCCGCAAGAATGCCGCTAGAATGTGGTGGCTGCAAGGAAATGCGGGAAAATTGTGAGCATTTGAGTGCTCTTTTAAGAGATTTGAAAGTGATTAGAGTTCAAAGTGAGGTGATTTACAGAAAACAGTAAGTCATGATGCTCCTAAGGTTGGTGTCCCACTAGCAATCCTGTCTATGGCAAGCATTCTCCAGCAACAGGATCAGTGAAACGTGTGGGGAAATTACTTACCTGCTGGTATGTGTCACTTCCCTACCAATTAGATGAGCAAGGCCATCTAAAGTTGACTGTACAGATTGTAACAGATGGTGACTTTAAAGATGAAAAAGTAACATTTACATGTGACGATCTTCTTACGGCTCTAATTCAATAGAACACAATTATTTCTTCAATATAGATTGTTTTTAAGGGACAATATCTGGCCTATTGGCCAGTGAAGCTTCCCATTACCTCCAACTGTAAATAGGAACCCTTGGATTGGTGGGGTGAATGATAGAAGGATGCCCAGCTATACCCGAGGAAGCTTTGTGGTTAATAATTGCCTAATAGAGTGTTGTAGCTTTGGGGATCCATTAACCACTTTAAGGCCACCAGACCACTTTTTGTTTACATGTAAAAATCTATTTTTTGCTAGTAAATTACTTAGAACCCCTACATGGCATGTGCGCAGTGGTTTTTCAAACACAATTTAAAAAAAAAAAAAAAACACTTTTTGAATTTGAATGCAAAAAAACACAATATAATATATTTGTTTGGTAAAATTAAACAAATTATGTTACGCCAAGTAAATAGACGCCAAATGTATCACGCTTTAAAATTGCACACACCCTTGCGACAAACAAACGGCGACAAACAAAATTTTATTATCCATAGGTGACACTTTAAAAGCTTTTACAGGATACCACTTTAGATTTACACAGAAGTCCTGTTACTGGAATTACTGCTCCCGATCTGATGTTTGCAGTGAGACATCACGTGTGGGACGATCGCTGTTTGTCTGATGCGTGCGTTCGCTTTTGCAAATGGGGGGGGGGGGGGCATGGCACGTTAAAACTTTTTTTACATTTTTACAGTGTCACTTTTTTTTATGATTTTTATTGTCATCACAGGGAATATAAATATCCCCTGT